AAAAGAAGTGGAGGACCCTAACGCTCCACAGCAGTAAGTGCTGCTTCCTTCCTTCCTCCTATTGTCCATAATGATTATTGCTTCCTGGATTGTGAGGGGGCTGGTAGCTGAGCCTTCCCCATTTTAATCAAAGACATTGTTAAGAGATACAAAATTGACATTCTGTGCTTACTAGAACCCCGCATTAATGGTCACCGTGCTGAAAAAGTAGTTCGTTCTTTGGGGTTTAGTAATTGGATAAGGGGAGTCTACAGGATTTTTTAGAGGCATCTGGTTACTCTTTTGAATAGTGTTGATTTTGACGTGTAATATCTTCATTTAAATGTTCAGTTCCTACACTATCTGGTCTTAAATCGTAATATAAACTCTACTTGCTTCATTTCGATAGTGTATGGAGAGACGAATATAAGAAAGAGGAAACTTCTCTGGACACAATTTGCGCAATTTCCACCACCACACGTTTCGGCTCCTTTTGGAAGATTTTAATACTTTTCTCTCCTTCAGACAAAGAAGGAGGTAGTGAACCTAAATGGGAATCAATGAAAGCTTTTAAAGAATGTATTGATAACTCAAGACTTATTAAAGCAGGAATTCAGGGCAATAATTTCACTTGGGAAAGGACAGGCGTACAGGAAAGGTTAGATTGGGTTTTTAATAATGCTAGTTGGGATCTGAATTTTCCACAATCTCTTGTTAGGCATGAACTCAAATTCAAATTAGATCATCGGGTGGTGGTGGTAAACTCTTTTCCCACAGTTACTAAGCTTCTCTCGTGAAAAATTTGTCCTACCAACAAGCTTGGAGTACAGAAGAAAGTTTTCAGAATATGGTTACTAACTCTTGGCAGGGGAAGGATTGGCGCAATGGGTTGAAGGAATTCCATTGGCAGCTTTGGAATGGAACAATCATCATGTGGGGAATCTCTCTTGGAAAAAGTAGAAATTAATCTAAAGGCTAGAGGGACCCACAAACAACAAAACAGGAATGATCATCTGGGAGTAAGGAAATTAGAACAGCAACTATGGATAAATTTCATAAATTAGAAGCACAAGAAGAACTTATGTGGTACCAAAAATCAAGGTGTAAGTGGCTCAAGTGGGGTGATCAAAACACAAGATTTTTTCATGCATCTACAATTATTGAAAGGAAAAAGCAGAGAATCACAACTTTACAGGATGAAACTGGAAACTGGATTGACAACCCTCAACTTCTAAGTCAGCTAGCTAGTAATTTCTTTAAAACCCTATACTCCTGTGATGGCTAGGTAAGGAGTTCTGAAGGGTGGTGCTCAGATTTCCCAGCTCTAAGCACCTTGGAGTTACAGAGATTAGCAAGAGGAGTGACAAATTAAGATAAAAAATGTTGCTTTTGCCATGGATGCTTTTAAAGCACCAGGACTAGATGATTTACAACCACATTTTTTCCAAAGTCAATGGAACCATATAGGAGATAAAGTTTGCAGTATGGTGGAGGAGTTTTTTCAATTTTTAGAGAGAATTAAAGATATAAATCAAACCAAGGTGGTACTTATCCCGAAAGTTGAATACCCTACTTCTCTCAAGGAACTATGACCAATCTCATTCTGTAACATGAGCTTTAAATAGTAACAAAACTCCTAGCAAGCAGTTTGAGAGAAATTATGGACAAGATGGTCAGTCAGGAGCAAGCAGTTTCATACCTAATCGGTCCAGTTGTGACAATATCGTCATAGCACAAGAAGCGATCCACACTATGAGGAAAAGAGGCTGAAAGAGGAGCTATATAGCTATCAAAGTTGACATGGAGAAGGCATATGATTGACTAGATTGGAATTTCATCAAAGACTCTCAATTGCTTGAAACTGGACGTGAAACTCATTAATCTGATTATGGAGTGTATTACTTCAACCACCATGTCTGTTATGTGGAATGGTGAGGAAGGACCACATTTCAATCCTACCAGAGGTATCTGCCAAGGAGATCCTCTTAGCCCATATATCTTTGTCTTGTGTATGGAGCGACTGGGACATTTGATCAAAAAAATGTGAAGCAGGTAGATGGGCTCCTTTGAAACTGAGTAGTAAAGGACCTGACATCTCACACCTCTTTTTTGCAGATGACCTTCTCCAGTTTACTGAAGCAACTAGAGAGCAAATGACTGAAGTTAGACAGATTATGGAAAACTTTTGTGAGGTTTCTGGCCACTGGGTTAACCTTGATAAATCAAAGATGTTCTGCTCCAGAAATGTCCACTTTAATAGAGTTGTAGAGCTTAGCCAAGATCTTGGGATTGGGGTCACTGCTGACTTGGGCAAATACTTGGGAGTGCCACTTTCTTAACGATATGGTTAAGAAGACTACTTTCTCCCATTTAATTCAGAAAACTCAGAGAAAATTATCCTCATGGAAAAGTAGATTTCTAAACATGGCAGGCAGAATGGTGCTAGTGAAATCTATATTATCTGCGTTGCCTAGTTACCAGATGCAATCTCATATGCTGCAGGTAGGCACTCTCTCCGAAATTGAGAAGATCAGTAGAAGATTTTTCTGGTCCTAGGATGAGGAAGTAAGGAAACTACACTTGATTTCTTGGAACACGATAACTTCATGCAAAAGCAAAGGTGGTCTAGGCATTAAAAATCTGGCGGCCCAGAACAAAGCCTTCATCATAAAGCTCTGTTGGGGTTTATTAACCAAACCACAAGCTTTATAGGTCAATTGCCTAAGAGAAAAATATAAGTGTGGTGATGGAGAGCTACCAAATGTTTACAAGAAAGCAAATATGTCCAGAACATAGAGTGCCATTGTAGACATCTGGGAGGCTTTCTGTTCCAAGATTGGTAGGAAAATTCAGAATAGAGAAAATACTAGTTTTTTGTGGGATTTGTGGACTAATCTAGATCGACCACTTATATCTTGGGTGTATAGTCTAAGTCATATTAATAGCATGGAGGGGAACTGGAATGTTGGGGCCTGGCAGGGGATCTTACCCCCTTGGATTATCAACAAGATCATCATAATTCCGTCACCAATAGGAGAGAGGAAAGACTGCTTTTGGTGGAGACCAGCTATCAATTCTCAGTCAAATCCGCCTATGAAGCTATCATGAATAAAGAAGCAACAAATGACTCAAACTTCTGGGGGGAACTATGGAAATGGCCTGTACATGAGAAAGTAAAGTTTTTTATGTGGCAAGTGTCCCATGAGCAACTCCCTACTAACTCACTCTGAGCAAAGAGAGGCTTCTCAGCATCAAATGAGTGTCCTTTTCAGTGCAAAAAAGCACGAGAGTTATGGGAGGTTATTTTAAATCCTAACCTTTCTTCTAGATTTTTCTCTGGTGATTTGCAAGTTTGGCTCAACTAGAATATCAGAACTGCCCGAGACGAGGAGCTTTCAGTAAACATAACTGGATTAAAGTCTTCAGTCTAGGATGTTGGTTACTTTGGACCTCCATATGTAAATTTATCTTTGAAGGGAAATTGGATACTCCAAGAGAACTTAGACACAAGATTCAACACCTACCTATGGAGCAAGTCGTGGGAGAACAACTCAAGCATCAGATCTCTAAGTTTTCAGGGCACCAAGAAATACCCTGGATACCACCACCCCAGGGAGCTATCTGTATTGATGTAGATGGATTAGTCCAAAATGACCAGCAAGCTACTTGTGGAGGCCTTATCAGAAATAGTGATGGTGATTGGATGATAGGATTCCCAAGGAGCATCAGCGTTTGTTCAGTCATAGAAGCGGAATTGGTGGCTATTCGAATAGGTCTTGAAGTCGGACAATAATATAGCTATCAAATGGTTCTACTTTACTCTGACTCTATGGATGCACTAAACTTGATTTCTGGAGTGTGCGCAATGGACCATTCCTTGAGATCTATTATCACAGATATTAGGGAATTTTTATTTGCTCAAGAGGGTATCAAATTGCATCATGCCAGTCGTGAGAGTATTAGATGTGCCAACTGTAACATCCAGACTTTTGGGCCTAGAAGCATCAAAAGTAGCCTGAATTGGATAGGCTACCAAATCCTTTTTGAGCAGAAGTCCCAAAGATGAGAAAGAAAGTCAAAGCAGTTTCAGGGACTAAACTGCAAAGTAAAAGTTTTTCAGGGGCTTCAGTATAATCAAGGTCAGAGACTCCAGTAAAGTCTCGAAGGCCTAGAGAGAGAAAAGAGACTAGATGTAGGCCAAAGGTTAAGTTAGAAGCCTCAAAGAGAGATTATATGAAGTTAAGTCCAAGCAGGGACTAAACTGTAAATTCAAAAAGTTATGACCAGCAAGGGCAAAAATGGAAGAGTGAACAGAAAATTCCAAGAAAATCCCAGAAAATGGGAAATAATATTCTAAGACTCTTCTATGAAGAGAAAAGATGAAAATACCCCTGAGATAGCTTAAATGGAATTTATGAGATTATGGCCAGTAAAAAGTACACTGTTTGAGGTAATTATTTAAAATAGCAAGAGATCTCAAAAATATACATAAAAATGAGGATTAATTGGTTGAAAGGTTATACTAATTTATAAAATTAGTCCCGTAACCAAAAGGCCAGTGGAATGACTTTAATAAATTAAAGAGCAGATTATACCGACAAAAGAGTATTTTAGTAAATGATTTTTATACAAAGTTTAGAGGAAGTGTTATGGCCTGAGAAAATTCATAGATACTCTCTAGAATGAAGGGAAATTTATGGAGTAGATAGAAGTATTTTTTGAACCCCGGAAGGCCGTAAAGAAAGTCGGAGAAATGTGGGCTAAGTAAAATAGGAGGAAACTTAAGGGCTAAATTTAGATCCGACGGTTATGATCTAATCTTCCTTCTCCTCCACCATTTTTGCAACACGTGGCCTCTTCTAGAAGCATGATGCAAGGATGATGTAATAAGGTGATGCAATGATGATGCAAAAGTCCACTTGAACTTCCAAAATTGCCCTTACTCCTTCTTCTAGCTACTAAGGGCATTTTGGTCCATTCAAGCCAACTTTTTGGCTATAAATAGGCACTCTTCTCCCCCCCCCCAATTTGGCCAAGCTGATCAACACTAGGGGAAACTCTGCTGCCCTTGCATCTAGAGAGAGAAAGAGCTATTTCTAGTGAGAGAAAGTCCACCTAAGTTCAAGCTTCAAGATCAAGGTATGTGGTGGCTATAGCATCTGATTTGATACCTATTTCGAATTAGTTACTGTGCATATCTGATTCTGAAATTTTGTATGCTTAAATTACACTCTGTAAGCTTTAAATCCATGGGTAGAATACTTCATTTGGATATGTGTACGGTTTATGGTGATTTTTCAAAGTTAGGGTTTGAAATCTGGAAACAGTGTTGAACTTTTGGAAGAGTTTTAAGTTCCGTACAATTTCGGTACTGTTTAGAATAGAATTGGTTTCTGAAACTATTTTTCCTTTAAATTTAACTTAAGGAGCTTTCATTGAGACTTGGAAGCACTCAATTTGGATTTTTCTACATTTAATTATGAATTTTCAAAGTTGAGCAAAAATTCTGGAGTTTCTGCGTGAATAGTACCCGCGAACCAAAATTTCCAGATATAGTATTCTTGAATCGAAGGCCATCTAAAGTGGTCCTAATTGACAAGAAATGGATCTTAAGGATGGGAAATGATAAGATTTATATTAGAAAAGTTAAAAAGAAAACCCTAAGACTAAGAGAAAGGGTTGAGGTTCAAGAAAGCTAGTCTTGAACTTTATATAATCTAATGGTCCTAATGGATTGTGTGATCATTATGGTTATGTTTAGGACCTTTGGAACATCCAGGAGGATGTTTGGTGATGTTGACCGAATACCCACATGGTTGGAAAGTCAAGGGAGTCAAAGGAAAAGTAAGAGGAAAGCTTGAGGTGCAAGGTAGTGAACTTACCCTTTATGTGCTTGACATGGTATGCTCATGTGTTGATTTGTATTTGTTATTTGAATGATGTTGTGACATGATGATTGTTGCTGGAAATGCTTTTTTTAATATGTTCCCATGGCCATGCATTTTTATACCAAGCATAAAGCATGATGGCATGTCACTAGTTAACTTAAGTTTATGAAAAACTACATACCATACACTAGCATCCATCTTGTGCATGTATGTGGTAATGTTTGCTATTGAGATTCCCCCGAATCTCACCCCTTCGTAATCAACCATTTAGGTCAATCAATGATGGGCACTAATGGCATGAGAAGCAAGGAGAAGAAATGGAGAATTATTGATGCTAATGATTGATACTAATATTCAATATATAATTCTCCTATGTTATAATTATGTTGTGAATGCCATGCATTTAATTATAAAGCTTATGGCATGTATAGGAATGTATGAGCATGAATGGAAAAAAGTAAGCCCATGTTAGGTATGCCAAAGAATTAAAGTAAAGAGATGTTAAAGGATAAAACGTAGGTCATGGAGCAGTTAATTTCGAGCTTCGGTTTGACCTATCATATGAATGAGTTAAACTACGAAATTTGGTATACTTATAGTTCACATCCCAAGCTTTAAAATGAGTAGTGAATCACCTCATTTGGATGTGTATACGAAGAGATATGAATTTTCAAAATTAAGGCGGAGAATCTGGAAAGTCCAGATTTTACCAAACGAATAGTAATCTTAATCCAATAAACTATACGTTTTCAGTGAGGTTGAGTTCAGTTGAATATTTTTCCCTTAAAGAGCATTGAAAGAGCTTTCTGTAGAATTTTGGAATACCTCCATACAATTTTTCTAAAATTAGTTATGAATTTTCAAAGTTGGACCTGTAATCTGAAAACTGGACAGTAAACAGTAATTTTTCGAAAATTAACGTCCAAATTGAAATTTTTAAGTGTAAGACCATCCAACATGGTCTGGAATGATTCTAAATGAATGCTAAGGTACTACATAAGTAAGGTGTGACACCAACTACCTGGCAAAGGGAGGACATGGAGATGAGTTAAGTACCCGGTTGGTCAGGGATGTACCAGAGGGGTGCATAGATATTTTTCTCTAGGATAAGCCTTATGGCTCTAGTTGCTGGTTTGTTTCGTGTTTTTCAGCTAGGCAGCCTTTGTTTTTCATCCAAGCTTAGCTTGTCCTTATAATTCATAAAAAAAAATAGTTTTTGTGGTTTGATAGCCTGAAATTTATGAATTTTATCATATCTAAGTTTTTGATTTTACTTTTATTAAATCTTAATAGCTTTGATCTGGTGGTAGAAGGCGAAGCAAAATGGCACTATTACGGCAAAAAGAATATATGTTTGTTTCATCAAAATGATTTTAACTAGTAAGAGGTTATTGGTTAATTGATTCTTAAACCCTTCCTTTGGGGCTTTATTCTTCCGTTCCATCCTAATCAATAGGATGAAAGTAAACTAAAAAAAAAAAAAATTTCACGGTGGTTATTTATATAACCGCTGTGAAAAGTCACATACCACGTCGGTTTTTTACCCGCGGTGAAATTTTTTATATTTTATATCAATAGTATAGACATCGCTCTTAAAACCGTCGTGAAAAACTCATTTTAACCGCCGTTAAATATCTTTTTTGTAGTAGTGACTAGTGCTTTTTTTTTTTGTGATAAATAGTACTTTTATTAATATATGACAAGATTACTTATAATATTTACGAACAATTTCAAATAAAATGTGCAAAGATCCTACCATAATTTTCCATATTTAGCTGTAGCGGTGAACACTACGGGCCTCTTTTCCTTTATGAGCAAAATACACGGTCACAAATTCACGTGACATCACGGGTGTATCTACGGGCATCTGAATCCACTCAGAATTTTCCAATCTGTAAGTTGATAATGTTAAATTTAAATATTATTCCCCGTACATTTTGCTCGTTTAGTTACCAGCCATATACTTTACAAGTTAAAACCTGCAAGATTTATTAGCCAGTAAACATGCAGGATTTATTGAATTTACCATAGCAAACTTTTACATCAAGTGTAATTTACATTACAAATTATATTATAAAATAAGTTTTATATTTAGAATAAGAAGAATAATATTTATACTTTACAAGTCTATATAGTCAAGACAAAATATTACAGAGATCAGAGTATTTTAGCTATAATTAGAAAATCATTCAAATCATTGACTTAATGTCTGATCTAGAATTAAGCAACCAATGCAAATCGGCTCACAACTACTTGAATAGGCAATGATGAATTGGTTCAAATCAATCAAAATTTTAATTCTAAAGTAATTTAAATCATATCATATTTCCAATCTAAATTTTATGCACATATATAAATTATAAGTAGTAAAAAAAAGAAATGCTAGTGAATAAATAAATAAGAAAAATGTAAATATTATAAAATTTTAAGTTTTAAAATAATTGAATACATTATATAAAATTATAAATTTAAAATATTTATTGATTTTCTTAAATTATATTTTTGAAGAGCTAAGATAACATATTTGAAAGGCCAAAAAAAGATAACATTTTTGATAAATTGAAGACTTAGTAACCTCTCACATGTTTCCCTTCCATTTTTTATATACTAATAAAACGATGTTCAATAATAAAAATAAAAAATTAGTCAAATTCATCCTATAACTTAATTTTATAAAATAATATTCTATAAGATATTACCTTTAATATTATATTTAATATATAAAATTAAAAAATATTAAATTAATGATAACCAGCTTGAATGCTTGATCATAATTCTACCACGAGGCTATTATTGACTTTTGGGCTTAGCGTGTGGTCGGATGATTCAACAGCTAGTCTAAATTTTAAATCGTGGAAGGGAAGAGACATCACATTGGAGCAGAAAGAAACCCAATAATTAATTCAGCAATAATGCAACGTGACATGTCAACAAAAAATATAGTAATGATAATAATGAAACGTGTTAACTTATTATTAACGACGTCGTTTATCCGTGAAGTGATTAGTGAAGGCAGAAAAACTGGACTCGTCGAAAACCTTTTTAAGATACTACCTCCTATAAGACTCTATTTAAATTTTATTTTGTTTCTAAATATAAGACTTCAATCCACTTTGTCTATTATATTTATATTTTTTTTCTAAAGTAGTCCTTCTAACAATGATAGTTCTAATCAATATACTTGATTAGCAAAAATATTTTAAGAAAGACCACATATTCATGACAAATAACTAACTCAACTTACTTCTTTAATCTCCTTAAATTAGTCAATTAGTTCTTATAATTAGGATGAAAAGTAGTACAGCCAACTCCTTAGGGGCCGGCAAGTAGGTACGACTTTTGTCAGCACAACGACAAGGCGGTACGAAAGTAATGAAGTTAGATATAATTACGAAAAATTACCGCCACATATCCACATGTTTTCTAAATTATATTAAAACCTTAGAAAATTTATAATTAATTTAAAATTTAATTAATAAATAATAATTTCTTAAATATAACTGTACCAAAGAAAACATGATAGCAGTAATAATTAGGAATTCAGAAATAGTTTATAAATTAAATATCTTGAAAATTATATTTTTTAGATATAATTTTGAGAAAATTGCTATGAAATTTCAAATAAGGAACATAATTACTAAAAAATCCTGATGACAATAGACCAGCCTGTAGTGACAAGTTTTAGGAGAGTAAATGACAACTACTCATTTATAATTGAAATTTATTAGTAATTATTTTCTTTCTTTAAAACCTCATTGTAATTTTTGATATAATCTTTCCATATAATTAATTATGGGGGACCAATGTAGCAATCATTTAACGCCACAAAAATCAGATATAATCAACCAAATCTAAACTTTTTTTTTTTGGCCAACTAATGATCTACACATTAAAGATATTGAATACACTTGTGCTTTTAAAAAAAAAAAATTTAATCATAACTTGTAAATAACTCGTTAATAGTGCGGTTTATAATGAACCTTCATTTTATACGCACCAAGTTAAAACATTTTAAGAGTTATGATATTTTAAATTAACTTAATTATTATTAAGTCTCATATGATTTACTACCAAAATCCTAAATAGTTATTGTCAAATTTAACAAAAAAATAAAATACAATTTTAACTATTTCAGTAATATGTCTTTTTTTTCCTTCCAAATTTAGCAGTATTTTGAATCAAAACATGACATCAATAAAAATTTTGTGTTTACTTAAATAATTATAATTTTAGCTAAAGTATACTTTTAGTCATTTTAGCTTTACATAAGATTTTATATTAATTCATTAACTTTAAAAAGTAAATTTTTAGTTCTCTAACTCTTAACCAAAAAAAAAGATATTAAACTCTTGAATGTTGATAAAACATTACTAAATATCAACATATTAAGTTTAATATTTAAAACAACCACGATTATTGCAAAAAATAATAATTTAAGACTAATAATTTTAGAATTAAAGGACTAAAAGTATACTTTTTATAATTAAGAGACTAAAGTAAAACCTTACAAAAAGTTAAAGGACTAAATATATAAATATATATATGTTAATTTATAATTTTTAGATCCATTCAAGTTAAATATTCAAAATTCAGGTCCTAACAGGCATCATTGCATCGATATTATGTTAGAACTTGGAAAGATCATGTTCACATGCGCCAAAATCCATATGGCAAAACAGAGCAGCTATTGTTAGCCAGCTAAAGACATTAAATACCTTTCTCATAGTGAAAGTCATCGCGACCATTCAACCAAAGGCTAGACCTCAAAGAAAGCGTGTTCCAGCAACACAGAGATGGCCAGTGGCAACTCAGCGAGCAAGTCCGAAGAATCTCACAAAGTGAAAGCTACTGTGACAATTCAGCAAACAACTGGTGGTCTTCTCTCTGGTGTTGTAACTGCGGGCCTTGATGGTTTCACAGACTTGGTCGGAAAATCTCTTCTCTTGGAGCTCATTAGCGTCCAGCTTGATCCTAGTAAGTATATTTTAGTGTAATTGCACAGATCTTTTGAAATAAAAGTTTCGTAAAGTTTTTCGAATTAGATTATGAGGAAAGTAAGAGAAGATTTTCCGCAGAAGGAGAAAAAAAAAAAATCAGACGAAGCTTACTCTCGGAAAACTTCCTAGATTCTCTATTAGCGGCTCAGCATCAGATCTTTTGTTTTTGTTGCATTGGTTTATTCAAGAGGCGAAGTCGTAGAAGAGAATAAAGGAAATGCAGAGAAAAATTTGAAAATATAAACCAGATTAAGAATACTCCGAGAAACTGTTCGAATCGGAAATATTTATTAAATCTATAGATAATAAATGCTTTGAATTTGAATTTGTGGTCCTGGAATATTGAAGAAATTAACTTCATGAATGTAACGCTGGAACCGATGCTGATTGATTATCCGATCTTCACTTTGAATCTGAATTATTTGTTTTGCTGTGTGGTGATTGAAGAGACGAAGTCGGAGAAGAGAATCAAAGCATATGCAGAGAAGAAGGAGGCGAAAGAGGAGGAGGAGTACGAGGCGTGGTTTGAGATACCTGGAGATTTTGGAGAAGTGGGAGCCGTTGCTGTGGAGAATGAGCATCACAATGAGATGCTTCTGAAGAAGATAGTGATTCATGAAGAGCATGGCTCTGTGAACTTCACCTGTAATTCATGGGTTCAGCCCAAACATGAAGGCTCGCTCATGAGAACCTTCTTCAGCAACAAGGTAATTGCCACTTCTTAATCATAATATAATACAATATAATAGGGATAATTAAACAAAGAAGACTAGCATATTGAAATGGAGAAAATAATCTTTAGTTCCCTAACTTTATAGAAGATTACGGTTTAAACAGCTAATTTTAAAAAGTATAGTTTGATGATTTTTTTTTTATAATAGTCATTGTTATTTGAGAATTAAATTTAATACGTCATTATTCAAGACTATTTTACTAATATTCAAAATTTGAATACCAGCAATATTTTTGCTAACAGCCTTAGAATTAAATGAATTAAATTTTTTAATAAAATTAAAAGATCGAAATAAAATTTTATATAAAATTCAAAAGACTTAAAATACACTTTTAGCAACTTCCTAAAAGAGTTAAAAAAAATTTTAAGAACAAAAATTATTAGCAAGTTTTATGCCAAATTTAAGGTTACAATAAAAATACTTCAAACTGCAACATTTTTTCCAAAATAAAAAAAAATCAATACAGTATTAATTAGAAAACTCTCCACGCGTTATTAAAGAAATAGTTTGATGAGAATTTTATTTGTATGTAGTATATTAATTTTATGTAAATTTTATAATTAGTAGAACATGCTTGTAACATTTTTTTTTCATCTTTATCTTAAATTATTTAAAACCTTACTCTTTAAAATTATTGACGCGCATTATAAAAAAAAAAACTATTAATTTTTAAACACACACATTAGGTTGAAATTTATAATTAAAATATTAAATATTTAAAGGTAGGTGAGGATAGATCAAAGGTCTAATACCTCCAAGTATAACCAAAAAAAAAAAAGTTTAAATATTTAGCAAGTTAGAATAAACCTTGATATAGTAAATAATGGGCAACTTTGCCCCCAAAAAAAAAAGTGATGTGTGATGATATATATATATATATATATTTATATATAATATTTTTGAAGCTGATATACTCTTTAATTATCAATATCTAATTGTGATTGAGTAAATTTAAAGGAAAAACTCACACAGAGATCTATATGAGAAGCAATACAATAAAAAACGAAATTTAGAACTATTTCAACCATGAGAAAGCAAATTTAAATGAAGCTTTAAGAATTAGAACGGAACTTTCGCCAAACACTTAAGAAAATTTTAGAAATATAGAGTCAGTAGGGAATGACCTAACCTAATCCTATCAAAACATTAAATAGATTTTAAAGTTACTTGAAGGTCGCATAAGTAGTAAAGGTCGAGTGGGAAATGGATAGGGATTTAAAGTTGAAACCCTCACAATGCATAAAAAAATACTCTTTCGGTCCTTAATATAAGACCCATTTAACTAATTTGATTATATTAAGAAAGTTAGGTAAGTTAGTTAATTATAAGAAAAATGACACATTTTTTCTAAAATACCATAATCATCTTTCTTAATACCCCCTCTCCCTCTTCTACTTGGTTATGGTTGAGAGAGTATCCATATGAGTAATTTAGAGAAAATTGATAAATATCATAAATGAGTCTTATATTTAGGACCAAAACCAACACAAGAATTAGGTTCTATATTAAGGACCGGAGGAGTAATAAATTTTTTTTTTTGCTCAATACAGAAAGCATATTTTTTTCCTAAAAACTACACTGTCAATTTTTGATTCAAATTAATTTAATTCTGCCGTTTTATTAAGTTTCTTCTTGACTATATCTTTTTAAAAAAGAAAGTTCGCACGGAAAATAGAATGTATGCTTTTAGACTTGTTAGTGCAGAGGAGAATTAGGACGTGTCTTTTGCCTCACTTTAATTTTGCAGCAATTTTTTTTAAAATTAAGTAAAATACATTGACTGTCTCTTTATTTTACCTAAATTATAAAAACCTCCCATCTATTTTGAAAATGTATATAAACCTCATTTAAAATTAAAATGTATGTTATACAAACCTCTCTTATATTTTTGAGATTCCATTCCTATTCATCTAACCATTAGTTGACCGTTAAGTTTGATTTTTAAACTTTTATTTTGACCAAAATATCCCTCTTTACTATAAATGTTATTTAAATATTTATATCTATAAAACATATTTTTTGAGACAACAAAAATAATTATAATACATGTATTTTCAAAATTTTTAATATGTTATTAAGTTTAGTAATTTTGATTATATTATATAAATATAATTTTAATTCTTCATGAAATGCTGAAACTTAAGGTTTCTTTAAAAGGCTAGGAAATATTTTAAATGTTTTTTTCATATATAATGTAAATTATGTGAGTTTGGAAAATTATATAAAACATTTAAATTTATAATTTAAATTTTTTTAAAAAAATTGTTGCAAACATTTATAACTTATTTAATAATAATTTGATTTATTATATATTTATTTAAAGAATTCATCAAATTTCTATTCAATTTTTTTATGTTTACATTAACTAAATTACTTAATTTTCTGGTCCAAATGATAAAAAAAAAATAAACAACAATTTTTAAAAATAAAAGATAAAATTAAAGTAAAGAAAAAAATCTTAAATTCTTCAAAATAATTATACCCAAAATTTAAAAATTTAATATCATGAAGGGGTAAATTAGTAAACTAAAAGTATTTCAACATAAATTTTAATTAACAAAGCATCTTCTTAGAATATTTTTAATGAAATTAACAGTTTGAATTTAAATGTATATTTTGAAAATAAAATACAGATCCGTATGATTACTACAGAATGTAAGAGAAGTTGGAATACTTTACTTTTTAAAATTTTGTTTCAAGGAGCTGCGCTCAAATAAGCGCAGGCATCTCATACCCAATCCGTCTTGAAGGGGCAGTTTAGTCTTTCCATAATTTACATGTGATTGTAAACTAAAATTAATATAAATATTACTTCATACCAAAAATAATTTTAAAACCCCGATCTCACTTTTAATCTTAAGCTCAATCCCAAACCCAATCTATCAAAATCACAGTCCTGCGAACCAAACGGAGCCAATTTTATTGGATCCTGGAGAATGATTTATCTCTTCAATTTTCACTTCACTCATTTCGTAATATTTGTGGCATGAATGGTGCGAGTATAACAAGTCATTTATCCACATGTTTGATTGTCCGTCGTTTTCATAACGCTTGCGCTTGTATTTAATTTTTCTATTCAAAAACTTAAGAAAAATAAAAGGGAAAAAAATTTAAAAAGTCCCCTACAGTCAGTGTTTGTGTGACTCTGAGGAGAACTACGGAACACTTCGGGAAAATTATTATGTTTTCCTAAGGAAATATAATTATCTAAAAGTACATAACAAGTAAATGAAAATGTATAGTATGAGAAATGAAAACAAGAATAATGTTATTTACTTGTTATCAAAATCTTTTAACCAGTAAAAATTTTTTGATCCTTGCAGTTTTGATTCGGTTTAACTTAATCCCTAAATTTTGATGTGCTAAAACTTAGTTCTTATAGTTTTAATTATTTTACAATTTAGTCCTTGTATTTTAAAAAATAAAATTATATATCTAATAAAGAAAGGAATTAAATTATAAAATTGTTATATATAATTATCGAGTGGCAGCGAGTCAAATTTCAGCAGCTGAGTTATAACCGAGACAAAACTATAAGAATTAAGTTACACCGAGTTAATATATAAAAACTGAGTTATTACAATGACCAAAAAATTAATTTTTCTTTTTAATTATTACTACATCCAACTTTAAATATAAGATCTAGTTTGTAGTGCAATTTGCATCATAAAGACGCTGATTCAAAATTGGAGACGTTAAATAAGAAGGTACCGTTACACAAGCCTGCTTCTATCAAGCATAAAGGAAGGGATCTTTTGAAAAACCGAACATGGGTCCCAGTGAGGCATTCGCCCAAAGTAAACCAGTCCTCTCATGCGGCAAAAGATAAAGTCAAAGCTTCAGTGCTCCCAGTATGGGGTGGACCCTCGTACTCTAAGACAGATGGGCCTGACAATCACTTTCTGGACTCACCAAATCCGTTCAGCGTCCTCGCATATGCTAACCAGTGCGAGCCCATGATAGAAGAACCCAGACTGAACGACGACAGCACTCCACAGGTTGAAACGATAGCAGATTTAAAGACGAAACCAGACAGGAACAAAGATGCGCCCTCTACCGCCACCAACTCTATCTCTCAGGGGTCTATAAGCGAAGAATCCCCTATCACAAGTGATCCATGAATTGCTTTTTCTGGAACTGTAGGGGTACGGGGTCCCGAGCTCTTCCGGGACTAATCAAAGAGTTACGTAAGCGGTACTCTTTTGACCTTCTTGCTCTATTTGAAACAAGAGCCACTGATGTCAAGGCGCAAGAACGATGTAGAAACCTGGGGTTCGAACACTACTATATCATTAATGCAAATGGCTATAAAGGTGGTCTTTGGGTAGCTTGGAATGATACGGGGCTCAACTTGAATATTATCTGCACCTCAGATCAATTTATCCACATGGAAGCAGTCAAAGGAAATGATAAAATCTTCATCACCTCGGTGTATGCTAGTCCAAACCCAAACCTCCGAAGAAACTTATGGGAGAGCCTAGAACAATGCCGACCGGACGATCAATGGCCCTGGTTTATTGGGGGAGACTTCAACGCCACTCTCTTCCACCATGAACGTCGTTCAAAAGCACTACACACAACGCCGCTTGATAAGTATTTTCTCTCTTGGGTGGAATGCATGAACTTGCATGACATAGGCTGTACCGGTCCTTTCTTTACTTGGAAACGCGAGGGGTGCGAAAGTCGAATAGACCGAGTTCTTGGGAATAATAAAGCTATGGAGATTTTTAACGAGGCACTGGTTAGACACTTACCTTGGTTCAAATCAGACCACCGACCTATCCTCCTCCACATGATTCCGGAGAGCAAGAAAACTCTAAGAGATCGACCCTTCCGGTTTGTTGCGTCATGGGCTCTCCATGAAGACTTCTCCCGTCTCACGAAGGAGGCTTGGGACCCCAACGCAAGCTGGCAGGAGAATGTACAGGTGTTCACTGATGAGGTAAAAAATTGGAGCCTTAATGTTTATGGGC